AGAGCAGTTTTCAGTCTTTTCCATCGGAGAGTTGATCTTGAAAAATAAACATAGATAGCTTGCATGGTACTAAAAAAGTCAAAGAAGCTACCTCATGATTAGCAGCATGAACCCCAACCAAATTAAGTGTATGATTATCACAGTTAACAAATATAGCTTTTGGGTTAAGTGCTGTGAGTCTTTTTTGCATTCCTGGTTTGTAGCCGGACATTACAGGCGCATTGTCATAACACTGTGATCGACAGTCTTTGAAAGCTAATTTGTCTTTTTCTAGTTGTTGTAATATTATACCTGCTATACTTGCTGCATCTTTTTTATGAGTTTGAATGAATCCTAGGAAACACTCTTTTATAACGACAGTTTTCTCCTCAAAGTCAATATCTGCATATCTAATAAAACTGGATTTTAGGAAAGACTTTATCTGCAAACCGAATAAATGTTAAGCTATCAAACGCGATTTTGCGTTTTTTTACGTTCCCCAGACGGTATAGTGATTAAGAGAGCAGACCGAAGGGCCCAGGTTCGAATATCGGAGAAGGCATTGGTGTATATGTCCGTTCCTTCATAGGAGGTAATGGCGGCCATCTATCAGGTAATACCCTGAAGGATTTATAATTTTTCACTTAGCAATTTTCATTTAAACGATTTATAAGAATTTATTAATTTGAATGTACAATTTAAGTGTTTTATTTATATTATTTAAAAACGTACATTTTGTCTTGATAAATAGTTTTTAATACGTGGATATATAGCGGCAAACATTATACGACCTATTAAATTGTACACATTCTTTGCTATAGTTTATTTAAACTTATTTCCTCGAATTATTCTAACTTAATTAACCAATCAATTTTAACTTAATTAACCTCAATCAAGTTGAAAATGATATCGAAAATTTCAAGTTTTGAAATAAAATATTTTTTTAATTTTTATCGTAAAGCCAAACTTAACAAATATAAAACTTTATCAAATACGAGTATAGAAATTGCAATAAAAGTTTGATTTCGATACTCGGCGAAAATTATTTTTTATTTCATTTTATTTATTTAATACTTTTTTTGACAAGAGGTGAATATTTCTTCATTTAAAACACAACTATAATTAGAAAATATATGAAAAGACCAACAATTGAGAAACTAAAGGCTGGGTAAAGGGATGAGTGCACAATGTACTGCGTACGGACGTCACGAAAAAAAAAAAAAAAAAAAATCCCCTTTTGAGTATATTTTAAATCCATTTTACAATCCGTTTTGGAAAAAAAAATAATTCTTTATTTTGTCCGTACGTACAGATGTCATACAAAAAAAAAATTGTCCGAATTGATTCGCGAAAGGTCAAAATGAATATTTGTATTGAAATACGATACCCGAAATTCTTCGTAATTACAATATATCCTTTTTTTTTTTTTTTTTTTCGTTCAAAGAAGTAAAAATGTTTGCCTTTTATTGTTTTTATTAAACATGAAAAAAATTCAAAAATAATATAGTTTTTATTAACTTACTTTTAAATCACTGAGATTATAATTTAAGTTAAAATTATTTCTAAACTTTTATTTTAATTCTGAGTTTACTAATTTATGAATTAGAATTTTGCGATAGATTCTATAATACTTTAAATATGCTCAATTACACTTTAACTCTTTCTTAAGTGAAAAGTCAAATTACATTAATTCTTTTTAATTGAGAAGCAGCAAAGATTATAACTTGTTTACAGTTAATTCTTCACTGTTAAAGTAGAAAGGGGCTTTATTCTTTTTCCCACATCACTAACTAATGGTTCTCCACATTTCTTAGAATTTTTAATACAGCATAAGAAAGCACTTCAATTCCTGTATATGGGAACAATGAAAATGTTTTCGGCATATAGATAAGTATAAGATATTATCCCTCTACAGCTCTATAAAATCAGTAAAGTTCAGGCATTATTAGCAAATCTTAATTCAATCAATCATTTGTGATCAGCTACTCTTCGAAGAAGAAAAATTTTTACATAAGAATTAAAATAACTATCCTCTCATTAATATCATACATTAAAGGAATAATTTTGTTAAGACAATGATTTTGTCTAACTGCACAACGAGGAATCAATAACTCTCTGTGTAATAGCATCACTGAATAGCATATTTAATAAAATTGAGATTATTGCAAAGGAAAAAAAAAGTTTCAAGTACAATTCTTAATCAGATAATTAATAATTGAACAAATTACCATTAATAGAAATTTTCAGCTTAGGTAAATACATTTAAATACACAACTGCAATGAATTTTTAATGACATAAAAAGTTTTCTCATTATAAATTATATAATATCCATAACTTTCAAAAAAGGGGGAATTGCTTACCTATTCCAAAACAGAAGTGCACTGAGTAGAATTCACTTAGAAAATGTAGAATTTCTTAGAGGACACTCATAAAAGGTGTTTTTTTTTTTTTTTTTTTTTCCTAATTACTTTTATTCAGGACGTCCCATATTAAATTTTTTATAGTAACTCATTACAAATTAAAACATTATTTTTGTAACACACAACTAAATTTTTATGAAAACTTTCAAAGTATCTTTCGAAGATGTTAGATCCTTACTGTTCACTTTCTCATTCTCGGGTCAAGTTGGCTGCACCCCTCCTGCTCCCTTTATCCCTACGGCTGATTGCGCCTCCTATGGTCATTCTCGCAATTGCATTCCTTCTATTCGTTCACACGCCTTTGTTCTTAAATAGAAAAAGAGTTTCTTGCTACATTTAAATGTTTACTTTCTATGAAAAAAGAAAAGAAGCTTTATAACTGGGGAAAAAATTTAATAATAAATACGTCTAGAATCGAAAAATGAATAACTTTCATATTAAAATTTTAGAACTTAAATCTAAACTATTATATCATGAATCCAGGAAAAAAAAAAGAAAATATTCGCATTCCCGTCCGAGGACATCAGTGATACCCTTTAATATTAATATTGCACTTTTTTATTTTTCATTATGATTAAAAGTATAATGCATTTGTTTTTGATAAACGTATTAGAATTATAGTGTAGAAGAAAGGTTTTCGGCGGGGTCGGTATTGACCCCCTGGTTGTCGATAAAATTTTAAAGGAGGTAAATAATGATCAAGGAATACAATGAGAGTCGATAGCCGAATTTGCATGGGCAGTTAATCGGCACAATAAAGATCCCATTAATTACGAAACTTTATTTGATAAAAGTGATATTTAATTAGCTATTCATATAATGCTATATCACAGGAAGACAAAACTTATTCAAAATACATGCGTATAAGTTGAATTTTGGAGTATAATTATAATAACTTTAAGTCTTGGAATAAAAGTCATTCGAAAGAAGTATCACAAAATAAAAGCTTTTATCTAGCCCAGCACCATTGATTTTCCCATCTTCTTACTTAACTGAAGAAAGCTTTAGTCAACTTATTACGGGAAACAAGGAATAATACGGCATAAGCAATTTTATGCTACATATTTAAAAATGTGCATCAATATATGAAGCGCAGTGATTAAAATCGAACTTTTAGGAAATTAAATTCTGTAATTTTTTTCCTGAAAACTTTTTATATTTGTAAACTTAATAATTATACAAAACATAATAAAACATAAATCTAAATTTTTGTTTATGTTCTTAGTTCTAAATATTATCTTTAAGTCACATATATGCAATTATTATTATTATTATGTTGTAGACTGTATATTATAAAGAAAAATGTAAGTTGGTAGATGAAGAAACCTTTAACAGGGATCGATCTAAGAACAGATTTGGGAATGCCTGGTGTAGAACATCGATTTTTGCAAAATCAAGCCCATACCAAAAATTTACGAGGGGAAGTTATTATTCTCTCCTGCATTTACGAGAGAAATTCTTATTTTCTGCATAAACTTTATGTCGCTATAATTAGCATTTTATATATGCTTGCTATTATTGAACTGAGTATGGCAAAGCAAGTAGAGGTTATCCATCTATGGAAGGGATGACTTTATGGAAGACTTTCTAAGGGAAACTGGCTTGTATTTAAATTTCATATAAGGGAAAATTATAAAAATGCAGTCAGCCCGTTCGCTGAGATTATAAACAATATCGAACTAGCACCGTTGACCAGACTTATACATTCTACCCACTAATGAACTATATAAACCATCTGCATATTTAACACCTGCTCCCTTAAATAATTTTAAACAGAGGATTTAAATTACTAGATGACTAATAGCGTAAAATTCATTGTACTTAACGCAGCGAAGTTGGCTTTCTCTCTATATTATAAAAAATAATAATAATAAAATAAAATAAATTAATATTTTTGATAAGTTTAACTGAGCTTCTTCCCCTCTCTTGTGCAATATTTGTGTAATTAATAAATGTAAAATTAAATACCCTAACTTACTTTTTTTTTTCTTTTTTGGAATACTTAATTCTCTTAATCATTGTGATTTTAAATATTTGGTTCAAAATGAAAGGGCTTTTGCTATTTTAGTGTCTCCACTTTCAAAGAATCGCGACGCTAAACTTGATTGCTACAGGGAAAATGGGACCGAATACGGAGGGTTATTCAAAGCTGTAAAAGGACAAAAGCTTTACAACTTAAAAGTATCACATAACCTTCGAAGTATTTTCTCGCCGTTTACTTAGGGATGAATGGGAAAGGGACTTGTGGGGAAGGATGACTTTCATTGACCTTACTAGTCGAAAACCTAGCTTTTCTATTCAATCTTTGCTAATCACATGACAAAAAATGTAGGAAAAAGATATCCTTATTATAATGGGGCGATAGACTGTATGCGAATTTTTTTAATTTATTTTTATTGCATTTAAAAATGAAAATAATTTATTCTAAAATTTCATAACATCCATTTGGCGCCCCCTAAATGCTGCGCCTGGGGACAGATGTCCCCCCTTGCCCCCCCTAGCTACGCCACTGGTAACTGATCATGATGTGGAATAAGCATTAACATAATAAATGACAGAAATCAAATTTTTTTTCACAGCTTTTACTTTTTAGCAAGCTTATATGTGCTAGTTCTCTGTGCATTCAATCCATTATAAATCCGTATGCATGCAACAGTATTTACTGTCTGTTTTAAAGCAAACATAACTGATGATCAAATGATATACAAATGGTAACTGATGATGTGGAATAAATGAAATATCAATGTATTAACATAATAAATGACAGAAATCAATTTTTTTTCACAGTTTTTACCTTTTAGCAAGCTTATATGTACTAATCATATGCTCTTTCAATGTTGAAAAAGAATTACTCTTTTGATGAACAGGTACTTTGCAAGCACTTGATTTTGCAATCAGTGCTTTAGCTGAGGAAGTTCTTGATAATACTGAAATTGAAATGAGGATTTCATATTATTTACATAAATTAGTAAAGATTAACACAATTTTAAGAAGCATTAAAACATTGCCATTCTTTTATAGCAAACCACTGACCAAATAGCTGAGCCAATGTTGCATGAAAATACAGTAGATTAAAGGTGCAATGACAGTTATTGACTTAAGCAATGCTGAATTATTGGTGGATCATTCTAGACTTTCGCAAAGCTAGATTATTGGATTAATACTATATAATGCTACAAAATTATTACTATAATTATTATTAATTTTTTTGGTACTGAATGTATAGAGGAATGAAAAATATTACACACAGTAAGTCTCAAAACATGTTTAATGGATCAAACATATTAATAAATAAATTTATGCATAATTTAATAGTATTTAACCAGTTTTTGATTTGAAATCATTATTGTTGCCAATGCAAAAAGTCTTTTAAAAAAAAAGCTGTTCACTTACTTTATAGATACTGCTCCTTTAATTAAATACATAAATAAGTAAACAATAATTATAAAATTACAAAAATTCCACACAATATGAATTCTTATTATTTCTCCAATAATTTTTCCTAGTTAATTTTTCCTTCAATAATGTTCTTTCCTATAAATTCTCAGCCTGATACCAAGTGACCTTAGTTGAAGTTTCTTCTTTATCAACACTCTTTGTTTCTTTTGCTAATAGTGAATTCAACACAATTTGAATTATGATCATCAACACTTAACTCTTCTTAATTGCTTCATCTTTAATATTTTCAATTCATTCAACAATTTCATTTTTTAAAGAACTATTAATGGACAATTTGAAAGGTAATATTCAAACATTTTCAATAACTCGGAATGTTTGTTCACTGGATAATCAACACTTTTATCTTCTCTAAAAAGAATTATGCTTCAAGGCATCTGAGTATTAGTTTTATCAAGCTTTTTGTAATGTATTGTTTAAGTGTTCCCATGAAATGCAGCCACGAAAACTGTATTTTTTAAAATTAATATTACAATCTGAATTTAAGGAAATTTGCACAAATACATTCTTATCTTTAGTTTTAAAATTTTCAGTACATAATTGGGATCAAGGTTACTAACTTTGGTGGAAGATACAAAACAGTAATATTCCCCCATAAGAATTCAAAGATCATCAGATATGCTCTATGAATGGTCAAAATCTTAAGATTTGCTGAGAAGGCTACACTTTCCAAATTATTTTAACTACTAGTATAATGTGGTTAACAATACTGATGATTTTTTAAAGTTGCATGTTTCCATTTCACTCCTTATAAACAATTTTATGAAAATTTAAAAATATTTAAAGTAACTAAAGATAAATAAAGCATCCTGTACAAATTAATTAACACCATTGTTAATGGATAGGATTACTGACGAAAGGAGTGCCAAATGATCAGACTTCTACAGTATATGGAAATATCCAGAGCTGACTCTAATGAGAAATGCACTTTGAGAGACTTAACATGAATTTTGTGTGTGTGTTTATATACACAATAAAAAGAAAAAAAAAAAAAAAAGATGCACCGAGAAGACATAAAGCAAATTGGTATTTTCTGGATCTAGAACCATACTACAGATTTCGCCGTCCGTTAATTGATTGATGATTGGGGCATTGTCGTCACAATGAAAAACTTCTGTTATATCATCTTCATTTATTACCGCTTCTCCACATTTCTTTACAGAATCCAATAACTGGAAAATTTCACCTTTAGTTTGTGACCCTAGCTTATACCATCCATTATACATTAAACGTGCATGCATAAAGCATAAAAAAAAAAGTTTGTGGCTTTGAGGCCCGGATTACAAGACATTCGGTAATGGACCTCGGATTATGGACGTTTGTACAGTATATAAATAAATGGGAGAAAACTGAAGCTCACATGAATAAATCTACTGTCTCACTAAATCATAGCATCATGTTAATACAGTACAAAGTTTGTAATCCAGCTCGTCAGGACTTCGGGAATTCTGGATTAGGGATTTTTCCGGATTATAGATCATCAATTTAAATCTGGTAAGATGACATGCAGAAATTATACAATTAAAAATATGAAACCATAATTTATGAAATAAAAAGCAATTATGATCTAAAGGTTATCAAAATTACAAAAAAAAAAAAAAAAGCTTAATTTATTTGTTTAATTCTTAACATTTCTTTCAAGTTAGTGTTAAGGAAAAATGAAACCGTAATTTATGAAATAAAGAGCAGATATGATCTAAAGGTATCAAAACAAAATTTAAAAAAAAAAAAAAAAAAAAAAAAAGCTTAATATTTATTTGTTAACTTTAGTAAACATTTCTTTCAATGTAAGTTGTTTAAGTTGCTTCATTTTTTGTGCTAATACTTTCTCTCTAATTCTATAAACAGACATAATCTTTTTTTTGTTCACGTCCTGCAATTGCTGTGTCCAGAATACCGACTAACTTGTCAACCGAAATTTTTTTCATTTTCAATAACTTCTCTGTCACTTTCTTCACTATCAGAAGCAGTATTTTCTGGATCTAGAACCATACTACAGATTTCGCCGTCCGTTAATTGATTGATGATTGGGGCATTGTCGTCACAATGAAAAATTTCTGTTATATCATCTTCATTTATTACCACTTCTCCACATTTCTTTACAGAATCCAATAACTGGAAAATTTCACCTTTAGTTTGTGACCCTAGCTTATACCATCCATTATACATTAAACGTGCATGCATAAAGCATAAAAAAAAAAGTTTGTGGCTTTGAGGCCCGGATTACAGATCATTCTGGATAATGGACGTCCGGATTATGGACTTTGTACTGTATATAAATAAATGGGAGAAAACTGAAAAGCTCACATGAATAAAATCTACTGTCTCACTGAAAATCATAGCATCATTGTTAATACAGTACAAAGTTTGTAATCTGACTCGTCAGGACTTCGGCAATTCTGGATTAGGGATTTTTCCGGATTATAGATAATCAATTTAAATCTGGTAAGATGGCATGCAGAAATTATACAATTAAAAATATGAAACCATAATTTATGAAATAAAAAGCAATTATGATCTAAAGATTATCAAAATTTACAAAAAAAAAAGCTTAATATTTATTTGTTTAATTTATTAAACATTTCTTTCAATGTAAGTTGTTTAAGTTGCTTCATTTTTTGTGCTAATACTTTCTCTTTAATTCTATAAACAGACATAATTTCTTGTTCAGTTACAAAGTTAAACTGTTCAAGTCCTGTAATTGCTGTGTCGAGAATACTGACTAACTTGCCAATCAAAATTTTTTCATTTCCAATAACCTCCCTGTCACTTTCTTCATTATTGGAAGTGTGGCATGGGTATTGGAAGCGCGCATTAAACTTGCATGCATAAACACATTACGCTCATGCGTAAAGCATACAAAAGTTTGTGGCTTTGAGGTCCGGATTATAGATCATTTCGGATGATGGATGTCTGAATTACGGACTTTGTACTGTACTCTTTGAAGCAATCAATTTTTTGCTGTTATAAATAAATAAAAAAATAAGAACGAAAGATTCTTTTTAATGCAATAAGAAGAAAATGCTCAACATTTATTTAGCATACACATAATGATCTTATCAAATAATATAAATATGTTACATTAGAGCTTAATAAAACTGATTTTATTCTGATTAAACAAAAATACTTATAATTTAGACATAACAAAAAGGCAAATCACATAAATATTCAAGAAAATTATCCATTATTGCTGATCACTTCATTCAATAACACAACTTATATATACAATTATTTCCATTCAAATTACATATACTTACTATTTACAGAGGGACACTCAAGAAGGTCAGTTACAAAATATTTAATTCCTGGTAACGCAGGCTCAATGTGCTCTTTGAAGTATTCCATAGCCATAGTAGATAAGTCAAAAAGCTCATCAGTTATGTTATATACTTCATTTAAGTTGGAAGTATTTCTTATAAACTTTAATATTCTATAGACTTCATCAATAATCTGAAATTAAGAAAATAAGGCATCATTTTTTATAACTTTAAGAATCACCTAAAAATATTACTTAACATATAATTGGAAGAGGAATATGACAATGTAAATTTTAAAACTAGGAAAAAGCAACAAGTTTGGTGTAGATTTCAAATAAAACTCTACAGACTTCAAGGACAATTAGATTCAGATCTCTCTTCTTCAAAAGCAATATATATATACACGTGTGTGTGCTAAGAAAGGAAAGTTTAATTAAATTGACTGTATAGTTAAGTTTATGAGTATTATTAATGTGTACCTCTGCTGCATTAAGCATGTTTTAATGAATTTACATAAATGATAAAGAGGATGTTTACACATTTTTTTGAACAATTTCAGGGCTGTTTAGTTACATTTAAAATGCAAAGATAATTTTTGATCTCGATAGTCTTTTTTTCTGAACTGCATCATGATTTCCATGGTAGAAGAGCTTTTCATAAAATTTCCAGGGTGTTAAGATTTCAATTTTCTTCCACTACTTTTCAGTGTCTATGAATCATGATGGGCTTGTGCTTAGAAAGAGCTCTTTCAAGAGATCCCAGACACAGTAGTCCATGGATGAAATGTCAAGGAATTTTGCAAGAATATATTAGAAAGGTATACAATGTCTCACAAAAATAATCGGCCACTATAATTAAAAAAAAAAAAAAAAAAAAAAAAAAAAATTAAGTAATAGGAGAAAAGCTTTGAAATAAAATAATAAAGAATATTTTCCCTTTGAATACATATTTTCTTTCTCTTTATACTAAATAAATTAAGAAAAATAGCAAATTTTAAAAATAATATTTTAGGCTGAAATGGAAATAAAAGATATTACAAAATTAATCGGCATCTTCATAATTTCTAATTAAAATCATCTGCAGGAAATTAAAAATTAAATTTTATGGAATTAGTTTGGATAAAGAGGCTAAGCAAAAATCTAAAAATAGTTTGCTTTTATAATTCGAATTTTCTTTTTAGAAAATATTCATTATTTTAATGTTTTCTTGCAATGGCTCGGTCACAAAAGGAAACATCATTAGAAACCCACAGATTAGTTATTGATTTGCATCAGAAGAAAGGGAAACCTATTAGAAAAATTACCGATTTCCTTAATTTAAGTAATTCTACAGTTTTTGATACTATTAAGCTTTATACGAAACAGAACTGTATTCAAAACAAAAGAGGACATGGAAAACCATCTAAGTTATCTGATGGAATGAAACACTTTATTCTCAGGAATATTAAAAAGAATCCAAGACTGAGTGCTCCTAAACTTATTGCAGAACTTCGTGAATTATATAGGATATGTGTAAATCCAGAAACTGTAAAAATGCAATCTGCAGGATACCATGGGTGAGCAGCAAGAAAATTTTATGTCAGTAAGGAAAAAAAAAAAAAACAAACTTTTTGCCAAATTGATGAAAGAGAAGACACCCGACTACTGGAATAAAATGCTGTTTGCTGATGAAAGCAAATTCATTGTTTTCACCTCAGATGAACAAGTACTGGTGTAGAGAAAACCCACAGAAGAATTTCGGGAGCAAAACTTAGTACCAAGTGTTAAACACGGCAGAGGAGGAGTTATGGTATGGGGATGTATGGCATATTTCCGTTGTAGGTAATATAGAGTTTATAGATAGTATTATGGATCAGTATAAGTAGCTTGACATCTTGAAGTGAAATTTGACATCGTCAGCACAAAAAACTTAATATACGGAATAGTTTTAAATTCTACCAGGACAATGATCCACAGCATACTGCGCACAAGGTTTAAGACAGGCTGTTATATAAGTAACCAGAAGTAATTACGGCACCACTCCAATTGCCAGATCTTAATTCTATTGAACATACTTGGCAGGAGCTAGAATCGAAAATAGAGCATATCTTTGTGGCAGCAATCGAAAGCAGTGATTGAAGAGAAGTGGCATAAATTAAGTCCAAAAATAACAAAACAACTTGTGGAGTCAATGCCCAAAAGATTAAATGAAGTGATGAAATGTAAAGGTAATTGCACAAGATAATAAGAAGCAAAAACAATATAAGATTTTATCATTTTTGGCTGTTACTAAAAGCATCCAATTATTTTTGTGAGAATACTTTTCCTCATTAAGCAAACAATATTGAGTTTTTACTTTAATTTTCATCTTTCTGAAAATATATTTACTATGAAAAAAATGTTGAATTTATATATAATAAAAAAAAAAAGCCTTTTTTTGTTTTAATTTTTATTTTCTTTAAAGAATACAAAAATTCAAAATGTTTGATCATTTTTGTAAGACACTATACAGGCAATACCTGTATCAGTCTTCATTTTTTCATGAATTTTACTTTTCGAACATGTACTTTGTACGTACATGTACGTACAACATGTACTTTTTGAAGTTAAGTCTTCATGACATTTCACTCTTTAAAAGTCAATGATATAAAGAAATGGAATTTCTTCTATAAATATCGGTTGTAAAACTTTCTTTGATAGTACTTTGAGTTGATTTTAACTTTTATTTTTACTTCCCATTACAAGAGAATCCTGCGACAATCATAAACTCCTAACTAAAACTTTCTTTGTATTGACAGAACAAGGTTTGTATATTGTTTTCCTTCATTTTTTATAATAAATAGACCTTTTTTTTTGTTGGAGTTATTTACATAAATATTTCTCTTCAAAAAGCACAAAAACATATCCTTCATTCCACAGCTTGCTTACAAGCGACATTTTAAAAGAAGAATAAAGTTAAAAAAAGCAGACAATACCTCTCTTTTTTTAAAAATGGGCTGTTGCCAGAAATTTTAATTCCCACGCATTTGATTTTTTTTTCAAATTCTTTATTGAAATCATTCTAAAAATGTGTAAACACCCTCTATATACCTCAGTAGAGCAACTACAACAAGGAATTTGGTGCTGAGAAAAAAGAAAGAAATGAAAGGATGAGAGTTGGTGCTTTGCTGCTGAATAACACATATAACATTCATAAGCTAGTGAAAATATTAGATTTGATGGAGATTTGTTGAAAAGTCTATGGAAATTGTAAGAATTAAATAACATTGTTGTGTGAGTACAGGTTCGTAACAGATTCAATGCATAAAGGTCTGATAATAGGTTAATAAAATTTATTTTATCAAAAGAAACACATCAGAGTTCTGGAACTTTCCACAAAAATAGTCATACTACTCTTCACAGTATCATACAGTACAATCAGTAGTTACACACTTCAAACTACTATGAGCGTGTACTACTATGAACACAATGCAATGCAAAGTGCAGTTAAAGAGAAAGATACACAGAGATATCTCAGTACTCTGAACTCACACTGAGCTAACAACAACAACAAATGAGAACATATGCTCTCTCCGGCCTTATTTAGTTTTCACCCGGCCGTCAATATATTTCTGGTACTTTCCACTTCTCAAAATTACTGGAAGGTAATATGAGGTCAAATTATGGTTACAGCTAATACAGTGTTCAATCATAATATCTATTACGGTGATACTGCTACCGGGAAAAAATGTTGCCAAGTTTGGCGACTTAAACGATTTCTCGTCAAATTTGGAGACAAAAATTAGTCACCCAAACTGTTGCCACTTGGCGATATATCTCCAGATTACCGAGATACTTTTTTCACTCAATGTTAAATGGACTTGCCCCTGTATTCTTACTTTTGTGGCATAGCTTGTCTCTTTAAATTTTTTCCGCATTACATTACAGAGAAAAATACAACAATTTCACGTACAATTGCACTTAAATAATCTATATACAGGGTTCATAGCCACATTTTAGTTAAAAAAATAAGCACTTATAAGCACTTTTCAAGCACATTTTAAGAAAAAAAATAAGCACCTGTCTAATTACATTATACAAAACTGTATAACTTCAAAAATTATGCTCGTAATTTAAAATATGAGAAATGCAGTATTTATTAAGAGAGAATAAGCATGGAACCTCAACCATAGAAAATAATTACTTTTTTTTAAAATTTTAAATAACAGTTCAATTTACAGAACTAGTTTACAATGAGAGAAAAAAAAACTATGCACAACTAAACTATATTACAAGATTAATTGATGAAATTTCAGTTCAAAATAGAGGAAATAAATAATAATAAGGCATATTTATTCTATTCGCTTGGAACTTAATAATAAATGCAATTTATTTTTCCACTCATATTGATATTTAAATAATTTAAATCTAAATTCTGAACATTTTCTAAATTTTCATCGTACATCAGTTTTCCCTTAACAGATATTGCAAGCAAAGTAATTTAAGTAAAAAAGAAACACATTTCTGAAATCAGAAGACAGAAATTTGCTTCATGCAGTCATCCTTTAACAGTAAAAGCTTAACCACCCGCATACTTGAAAATTGGCGAATATTCGGACAGTCGAGCGTAACTTGAAAAAGAGGAGCGGAGGGGGGGGGATAGACTGTAGCCGTTCTTCAAGATTTTTCCGCTAAATAAATGCTTTTGACATTTCGATAATGTGCATCATATAAAAATAAACCAACGGAACAGAAAAAATATTCTGCTTAGCAAAAACTCTTTTATGTGTTCATCAACAAATCTCGGACCGAACATCAAAATTAATTATCTCTGCGAAATATCGGAAACGTTATTGCGCAATACGTGCACCGTAATTCTTCCCTACATGATATTACGTAATCGGATTCAACAGCTGCCTATATTGGGAGAATAAAGAACTAAATAAAGGAAAAGAAAGAGACTTTGGGTGTTTTTCATTCTAATTTTCAACAGACTGCGATAAATTTCCGGAATAGAATCATTCTTCGCTTGGGTTGGTAGACTGCAGAACTTTTAGTCCTATTCAATCCAGATTGGAAAGTGACAAAAAAAAAAAAAAAAAAATCCGTTGCTTGTTTTACAACGAACTGTAACAGTTTCAACATTCGAGATTTTGCGGAGAAAAGGCAGAACCTCCCAACGTTCTTACTGTATAACGTATTGGCCAAAAAAATGAAATTATTTTGACTATTCGAT